TCTGCAGTCTCTTAAAAAAACACCAAAGGGGAATTATATTCACAACACACTGCAAATCTTCTTGAATTATCTTTCCCAACTTTCTCTTCTCATCCTCCCACGCTTGACACTTGCTTCCCTAAAGCTCTCTGCTCCCCCATTCCAAACTCTCTCCAAACCTCCCAGCTCTGCTGCTGTCTCTCCCCTTCCTCCTCTGCATGGCTCAGTTCTTTCTTAGGTAGCACTCCAGAGTATGTTTTATTATACCCGATCACAAAAGTACAGTAGCAAAGAATGGCAGGGAGAAAGCTTCCAAGGTGCTGAGACCAGGAACACATTCCACAGTAACCCAGCCCACAGATCTCCCTGCCAGCCGGGACCAGTGTCTCATTTTCCCACTGATGGTTCACTCCTCTATCACTTCCTCTTCTGCCTACTGCTCCCTAGAGCCAAGGTCTGGGAGAGGCTCATGACTGAGCCTGACAGAGAAGAAAACGTTTTGCTACTGTGCCAGAGGGGACTGACGTCACAGAGAAAGGGAGAAAACCAGATGGGCAGGTCCGCAGGTTTTATCCCCGGTTTTAATTGTTTTGTTTTGTTTTGTTTTTAAATCAGGCACTGCCCTATTCTCTGGTAGAGAGCAAATGGCTTGCTGTGAGAAGTGCAGTAATTCTTAAAAGCCCGCCAAGGTCCAATGCTCCTTTTAATCTCAAGACAAGCCCATTGGTGCCTTTCTTATCATCATATTAGTAATAATGAATATTTACCAAGCTTCCATATATTTTGAGTGACACTTTCTCCCTGTAGAAAGGACAGTCCTGTTTCAAGTATCTGAGGACTCCCATGCCCATCCACCATCATTAGGTCATGCCCTTGGAGTTCTGTTTTCAGTGGAAAGGACACACACAGCTTAGGGCCATCATACCTCTTATCCTTCCTTCTTATGTCCTCCACAGGCATCTGAACTCAGCATCATCCATTCCCTGAAGATCAGTTCGTCCTCCTGCAAAGCAGTTCCTTCTGCTTTATTCCTCATCTCAGAACGGTACCACTGCCCCACCAGTTTCCCAAAGAACCTGGGAATCAACCTGGACTTATCCTTCCTCAGTCCCCATGTCCAATCCATCTCCAAGTCCCGTAATTTCATCTCCTTAGGATCTCTTCTCAGTATTTCTGAATCTCTGTCAGCTTACATTGGGCTAAAGGCATTTCTTGCTTGGACCACTACAGTGGTCTCCCAGCTGTCTCCCTGCACCCACCGCTGTGCGCCTTCCACTCCCTCCCTGTTACTTTCCCATGTAGCCTGATTGTCAATGAACCATTTGGTAAGGCTCCTGTCTTATCCTACACCCACTTTTAGGCTAATAGCAACTCACTTTTAGAACACTGGCATATCCCCTCAGAACAATAAGAATTCAACTCCAAAATCATTCATGGATAATGCAGATTTTTTTTTTTTTGAGACAGAGTCTCGCTCTGTTGCTCCAGGTAGAGTGCAGTGGCATCATCATAGCTCACTGTGAACTCAAACTCCTGGGCTTAAGTGACCCTCCTGCCTCAGCCTCCCAAGTAGCTGGGACTACAGGTGTGCACCACTATGCCCAACTAATTTTTCTATTTTTGGTAGAGACAGGGTCTTGCTTTTGCTCAGGCTGGACTTGAACTCCCAACCTCAAGCGATCTACCTGCCTCGGCCTCCCAGAGTGCTAGGATTACAGGCATGAGCCACCTTGCCCAGCCCAATAATGTAGATTTTTAATGAAAAGGATCTATGAATTCAAAGAAAGGGACTTACACTGCAATTACAGTGATACTTCCTACACTGTCCCTAGTTAAGGCTGCCCTTTCCCCTAAGATTCCCCCTTCAATGGCAGCTGCTGCCATCTCTCTCCCTCACTCCATTTCCTTCCCCTGCTATCCTGCAGCTGCCCTCTAGTCAAATTAGCTGTCTCCTTCCCTCTTCCATTTCTCCAATTCCCTCAGCTGCCATTTCCTTTATTTATACATACACACACACATATATTTTAGACATGGGGTCTTACTCACCAGACTGGAGCACTGTGGCGTGATCGTAGCTCACTGCAGCCTTGAGCTCCTGGGCTTAATTGATCCTCCTGCCTCAGCCTGAGTAGCTCAGCTGCCATTTCCTACCGAGAGGGTCTCATCTTATCATTAACTCCTTAAAACGCTTCGATGGCTACTCACCGCCCTCAGTAGAGTCCAAATTCTATAATATGGTCCACTGGGCCTTGCAAGCCCCAATCCCAGCTCCTTCTCCCCTCTCTTCCCCACTTGAACTCCTTGCCTCAGTCATAGTGCAGGGCGGTGGGTACTTCCCCTGGTCTGCCATGCTCTTTTCTATCTGGGTGATCCCTCATGCTGTCCATTTTGTCTGAAATGCTCTTCCCTTCTTCCCTCTGGTTAACTCCTCTATTGGTCCTTCAGGACTCAACCTAAACATCTTCTAGAAGCCTTCCTTAGAATGTCTAAGACCGTGGTAGGTGCCATCCAATATAGTCTCAAGCAGCTTACCCTTAACACAACTGTACTCTACTTGACTGTATGAATAGCAACTTGTATACACAATTTGAGGACACAGGTGTATTACTGCATGCCCTGGGCCTCATACAGGGCCTAAATCCCAGCATGCATTCAACGGTGTTGAACAACTACATGAGTAAAAGCTAAAAGGGCATCCCTGCCTACGGTCTGTAAGAGAATGGAGCCCATGAACCCTTGGAGCCTGAAGCCATAATTTTGACCTCATTTGTGTTCCAAACTGTGAAGGTCAGTATAGGAACAAAATCTACCTTTGGGGTTCCATGGATGATCCTAAATGCCTCCTAATGATTAGCTGTGTTCCTTTTAATCCAAGAAGGCTGTACTTCCCACACGCCTGCATCTGGGCACATTTTCTAGGTGAGGTAACAACTCCTTTGGGGATTGGATGTTGCAGAACAAGCTGAATCATTACTATTTGCAAGCAGTCTTCCACCTAGAATCCTACTGAATCACTTGGCTGACTCTACTTCTGTCTCCCTAGAAGATGCCCAATTGTCTCCAACAATTTCAGGCAACAATCACATAGGAGTGGTAGGACTCAGAGAATGGTATTAATACATGTAAGCACACCCCCAGAAATGAGGCATCTGGATTTTGGGATGCCTTTAGGATATGTCAGCTCCTATAAGGCTTAGTACTTAAGACTCAAGATCATATTTGGCCAGGGCTCTTTCCTGCTTGCCCTCTGAAGCCCAGCAGAGAACAGGCAGAAGCTTTACATAATCCAGAATACAACGGATGGTTCGGATTGTTTTATTTTAGAAATCATTTATTGTGTTTTATTCCAAAAGTCATACATGCTAATCACAAACAATTTCAGAATACAGAAAAGAATAAATAAAAATATAGAAATCATTTCCATCAAGAGATATCTCCATAAACATTGAGGTTATTTTCTCCTATTTTTCTGTAACAAGCAGCAAATATACGATATATATTAATGTATATATGCATATATCTATTCCCTTGTACAGAACTTAGATAATATATGGAAAATTTTATTTCCTTTTTTGTTTAGAATATGAAAATGAAACATAGCTACTGTAACAATCTTCAGCTATACAGAAATGTATGACATCTAAAGTGAAAGTTCCCACAATTGCATTCTTCACAGAGAACTCGTATCAACCAGTTTAATCGGTTCTTTCAGAATATATACTTTTATGTGTATATATTAAACATCACCTTCAGTTCATTTTAATTGTAACTAAATTAGTGTGACGTTAATATCCCTAATGTATTAAAACATGACTTAATAATTGTGTAATAGTCAATGAACCACTCCCTGATTATCAATTTGTTTTAATTGCACAGAATGCAATGATGAACATACATACGTAATTTATTGTGATAATTTTTTGCTTCTTTCTTTTTTTTTTTTTGGGCCAAAGTTTCACTGTGTTGCCCTAGCTAGAGTGCCCTGGACTCACCCTAGCTCACAGCAACCTCAAACTCCTGGGCTCAAGCAATCCTACTGCCTCAGCCTCCCGAGTAGCTGGGACTACAGGCATGTGCCACCATGCCCGGCTAATTTTTTCTATATGTTTTTAGTTGTCCAGCCAATTTCTTTCTATTTTTAGCAGAGACTGGGTCTCGCTCTTGCTCAGGCTTGGTCTCTAACTCCTGAGCTCAAACTATCCTCCCGCCTCGGCCTCCCAGAGTGCTAGGATTACAGGCGTGAGCCACCGAGCCAGGCCATGAAAAATCTTCTTTAAATTAAGTCTTCTGATGCAAGGCCTCTTTGTTGTAACGTCCCCGATTCAACGCTCTGCACAATGGATGTGGAGAAGTGTGAAGTGTCTACCTGCGCTACTGAAGGACTCAGCACACGGGATGGGGTCATGGCTTTGAGTTGTAATCCTGGCCCCACTCTCAGACCTGTTTTCTCCTCTGTAATATGGGGATCCCTCCACCCTCGGTGAAGATTAAAAGCACAATCGCCGGACGCACTGTCTGGTGATAGTTATTGTGAGTCTTTTACTCCCTTCTCTCTGGTAAACTCCAAGCTATGGAGTCCAGTCAGTTCTAAGCAATTGTAAAATTGGGACAGCGTGGCCCAAAGGGCTACTGACCTGAGGCAGAGGGCCGCTGAGACTCTCTGGGGACCGCTGCGAGGTCAGCCGGCGGCCTGGCCTGACTACCCTCCGGTGCCCGCACGCAGAGGGAAAGCCGCGGGGCCGGAGCCGGGCACCACCCGCGTCACCTCGGTGAACGCTCACAGCGGTCTGTGAGATAGGCGGCGCTACAGGCAGAGAAGCCGAGGCTCGGGAGCCCCAGTCACTTGCCCAGGTCCACTCAGCGGGGAAGTAAACCGCGTTCGGGGCTTGAAGCCCAGCGGCCCGACTCCGCGTTCTCCCTTTTAGCGCCCGAGACTCCTCCTGCACCCACAGGGGGCGCCGGCCTGCGCGCACGCGCAAAGGTCGCAGCCGCGTCCCCTTTAAGAGGATTCCTTTTGGCTCCGTCGACCCTTCGCTTCCGCTCCGCGTTCCCACAATGCAGTGCGGCTGAGCGCCTCCGAGCCCGCGGGGACGCTGCAGGGGGACCCGTGCTGAGGCGGCGGCGGCGGCGGCGGCGACGTGGGCTGCGGCGGGCCCGCGGCGTCGGGCTGTGCGGATGTCGGGCTGGGCGGACGAGCGCGGCGGCGAGGGCGACGGGCGCATCTACGTGGGGAACCTTCCGACCGACGTGCGCGAGAAGGACTTGGAGGACCTGTTCTACAAGTACGGCCGCATCCGCGAGATCGAGCTCAAGAACCGGCACGGCCTCGTGCCCTTCGCCTTCGTGCGCTTCGAGGACCCCCGGTGAGGCCCCCACGCGTCCGCCCTCCCACTCGCCCACAGAGCCCGAGGCCCCCGCCTTCTCGCCTCTCCCCTCCCCCGCCGGGGCGTCCCTTCCCTTTCCCCTCAGCGTAGACCCCTCACGGCGCCCCCGGGTGGAGGATGAGGCCTCCTCTCCTCGCAGGCTTGAGCGGTCCTTTGCTCCGTCGTCACTTCCTTTAATATCATCATTATTTTTTTTTACTTAGAAACCCAAAAGCTGAGCCTTGGAGGGCTCAAGCCCGCCTAAACCGGCCTCAGGGATGGTACAAATTAGCACTCTCCCCCTCGCAGCTGTGGAGGCACCTTGAGGGGAAGCGGCCCAAGGGCTTGGAAACCTCCGGCCCCTGAACCAGCCCGGGTGGAGGACGCGTTGAAGAGAAGTCTCTAGTCGTCCTCTCCGTCCACCTCTTCCACGGCCACAGCTTGCCGTTGCGGAAGAACAAACTGCGGGGATGTGGATGCGTTTGGAGGTCGTAAAGGGGTGTCTGTGGTGGAGCAGATTTCCATCTGCGCGCGCCCTGCCCCTCGAGGATAGGACCTGGTCCTTATAAAAGTCTGCAGGATTTGGGAGAACTTCGAAAATAGCCTAAGGGGGGCTCTGGTTTCACTTCCCTCCTTTAATGAAGGAGGGCTGGCTAGATGCTAAAGGTCCCAGGGATCTGGAAACTCTAGATCCCTAAACGGGCTCAAATGGGTGTTTGTGATTTTGCAAACATTGTCAGCCCTCAGGCCGGAAAAGGCCCAGGAACTTTCAAAACTGTGGTGGTCACTGCACTGTACAGATCAGTCCACTTGGGCTAATAGCCTGCTCCCTGTTTTCCTAGCTTTGCTCCCAGCGGGCCTTACTTCAGGCAATAGGAGGAGTGTCTGTATGGTGACTTGTCCACCTGGGGTGGAAGTATTGATAGGGCAAGGAGAGCATCTGAGGATAGGGAGGCAGGAAGCATCTGGAGGCTTTGATGGCTGAAGACTCTGACAGAGCTCATTCCTAGTGTTTTGTCATTTGCCTCAAAAAAAGAACTAGGCATTTTTACACTTAAACAGGAGAAAGCTGTGCCTCTTATTTATTTAGTAACAGGGCCTTCGTGGTTTTTGAACAGTTGCTATGGATCAAGTACCATGCTGTGTTGTTATTTAGCATTTTCAACAACCTATGAGGGTAGGTACTGTTAACCACATTTTACAAAAGAGAAAATTGAGGATTTAGTTGATAATAAGGATCAAGGAAGCATTAGAACTCCCTGTTCTGCCCTTAGAGTACAAACTTACTGTATGATAAGCTACATTGTCATCTTTTCCCTCATTCCTTTCATAGTAGGAAAGCTATCTTTTGATATCACTGGATGGGAAGCTTCAAGCAAAGCACTCTGCATGTAGTATCTTATTTAATCCTTACAAAAACCCTCTGAGATAGGCATACTACTCACATTAGAGATGTTAAAAACTTACTTAAATACTTACCCAAAGATAATTACTCATAAGTAGCAGAAGAATGATTTGATCTCAGGTCAGTTTGTATTGAAAGACTACTCTTAAACCCTAGCACCTTTGCCTCTCCCATACTGCATTATAGTCAGAGTTGCTCTGGATGTGGTCCTGGTTGCATTTAGTCCTAAAATCTTTTATTTTTTGAGACAGGGTCTCGCTCTGTTACCTGGGCTAGAGTGCCGCAGCATCATCCTAGCTCACAGCAACCTCAAACTCCTGGGCTCAAGCGATCCTCCTACCTCAGCATCCCAAGTAGCTGGGACTACAGACATGTACCACCACACCCGGCTAATTTTTTCTCTACTTTTGGTTGTCTGGCTAGTTTCTTTCTATTTTTAATAGAGCTAGGGTCTCACTCTTGCTGAGGCTGGTCTGACCTCAAGCAGTCCTCTCCTGCCTCAGCCTCCCAGAGTGCTAGGATTACAGGGTTGAGCCACCATGCCTGGCCAGTCCTAGAATCTTGATAAGCGATTATGTGCTGGTGACACTAAAGTATGCCTTCATTAGCACAACTTCAGCTCCCTATGTCCACCGAAGCTCCAAGGCCATCCATTCTTTCCAGTACTGGAAAATCAACTTGGCATTCCTAACTCTGCTGGAGCCCTAGGGAAGACTTAACACATTAACTGCCATGAGTTGTATTTAACTCATGCCAGTTTTGAGCCTGGGGCCTTGTGGAGCAGCATATGTAACTTACAGGGCTCTTTACCTTGGGAGCCGTGTGAACTATTTTTCAAGTTGCATATTACTCATGCACAGAAAACAATAAAATATAACAAATTTTTCATTAAATTCGGATTGTTTTGTTTTTGCAGTTTTTATTCTGTTTTCATAATAAAACACTGTGGCCCCAAAGAAAAAAATTTTTTTGCTAGCATGGCAGTTGGTGTGTTATTAATGTAACTTTATTGAATATTTACCTCTTTTGGCAAGATTGTACTCAGAGTGGTTATGACAATTTAGTTCTCCAAACCATGATGAAAAGGTACACTTAAGACCACACATCACAAAACACTGATTTGCATTTGTCTTTGGAGCCCTGTTTTTTAAAACACGAGTTTTTCTTTCTATAGACTTTATAGTAGTAGGCCTTGTGGAAGATAGTGTATGGTGCGCTTTTTGAGAAACTGTTCAGCAAGGTTAGAGAAACACTGGTTTATTGGCAGAATCAGTCATCTGTCAAAAAGTTCTTTTTTTCTCTGAATTAGCCCTCTTATAAGTAATCTGCTTGCCCATTCATTATCATTTCATATGTATAGAACCCTGTGTGTGACAGCTATAAAGTGTAATTCCAGTATCATGAAAGATCTTCAAAGCAGAAGTACATCAAGATCCTGTTTTGTGTTTTTTTCCTCACTCTGGGTTTCCCTTTTGTACTTAATACTCATGTTCCTCACTGGGAAGTCACTCAGCCTCCTGAACAGCACTAACTCTATAAACTTTTCTTTGCAGAGATGCTGAGGATGCAATTTATGGAAGGAATGGTTATGATTATGGCCAGTGTCGGCTTCGTGTGGAGTTCCCCAGGACTTACGGAGGTCGGGGTGGGTGGCCCCGTGGTGGGAGGAATGGACCTCCTACAAGAAGATCTGATTTCCGAGTTCTTGTTTCAGGTATGTTCCTTTCAAACTGAATGAGATGATACATGTAAAATATTTAGCACAGAATCTGGCTTCCAAGGAATGATAGCTGTTACTCTTCAGTGCATGGGATACATGGACTTTCTTTTTAATAGGCTGTGCACAGTGACAGTCTGAAGCCCTGCCCTGGCTTGCCAGTGAGGCAGGTATCCTGCAAATGAAATTGTGCTGGTAGTACATCCTGGGAAGAACATAAACACACTTTTTATAAAGGAGTTTTCTAGTGGTAAGAAGGGAAGATGATGGGAAATCCTCTTGAGCTGGAATTCTAAAGTCTTTTCTTTTGGAATGTACTTTGGTATCAGATTTGCTGGAAAGGCATTCCAAGAGCCAGATTTGAACCATTTACCCAGCCTTGGATCCTGAAGGTCAGATTTTGTGCTGGTTTTGGAATTACATTAAAAAAAATAAAATAAACCCACAACTTGGAGTCTTGGGGATTGTATTGGAAAGTATAGAACATTTCTGTCTAATGTTGACAAGTGATGAAATGCTAAGCTCGGGGGTTTATGTACCTTTAAAATATTAACACATTGGTAAAGACCTGGAGCCTCCTGCACGTTGCAGGGGAGTTTTAGGGCCCTAGTGGAGTGAAATGTATTGAGGAGCCATGTACCTTTTAAGATGTGAATGTCACACAATCACATCAGATTCCCATGTGTTTAAGAGTGATACTCAGTATCTGCCTATCTTGTGTCCCTTTGTAATTTTTTAATCCCAGAACTTTGTTCCCTCCTTCAGGATGTCATACATTATCTTTTTTTCTCTCCATGCTGCTCTGAAATCCTGCTTAGAAAACTATTAGGAAATGGCTGCAGTCCTGAGCTGTGAGCGGTAAACACAGCCTTTGAGAGCAAGAGCACATTTCCCTTTCATGACATCAGGTAGGGTTGTATGACTCCCGACTAGTTTTAGCATCTGAGTCTTACCTTTCCCCCCCACTGTATTGAAGAATGTTGGTGATCTCTTAAGAGGTACTTTGTCTGGTTTGTCAGTCATTCACACCTACAAAAAAAAGAGCTTTTTTAAGATTTTTGTTGTGTAACCTTCAGCTACACTTTGGTTATTTCATTGGCTGGTTCCAAAATCCCCATGTTCTGGGCAACTCTATCAGGCAAGAAATAACTGGTACTGTTAAATTTAATAATGGAAAAAATTAAAACTCAAAGTCTTTGGAGTTTGGCCTTGATTATGGAAGAAAGAGAGGCTGTAGATTCTAAGAGATATTAAACCTATAATGGACCAACTTCTTGCTCTGTTGGGAAGGGTTGGTCTCTGGAAGGTTAGTCTAGGACCAGCTTCTCAAGGTGGTTTGTTTACCACACATACTTTAGTGTTCTTTTCTGGTTTCATGTCCCTTATCAAGATTTGTGATTTGGGAACCTTCAGGATTTAAGTGACTCATGGAGAAGGGACCATAGGTATTGCTGGCTTTTAACAGGGCTGTTAACATGGCTGAAGGATGTGGGCCCTTCTTTTATGTTCTCCATGCCTAGGACTTCCTCCATCAGGCAGCTGGCAGGACCTGAAGGATCACATGCGAGAAGCTGGGGATGTCTGTTATGCAGATGTGCAGAAGGATGGAATGGGGATGGTTGAGTATCTCAGAAAAGAAGACATGGAATATGCCCTGCGTAAACTGGATGACACCAAATTCCGCTCTCATGAGGTGAGTTCCTACCTTCTGTTGAGCTTGTACCCAGGTCACTAGCAGAAGTTAGCAGCAGGACATGCATTTGCCATTTAATGATCTCACGATACCATGAAGTGGACAAAGCCCAAGAATTTGTCATGCCTAAGCCCTGCAGGGTCATAGCAGAGAGAGATGTGCATTCATAGCATGTTTAACCTGGAGATAGTACTGGTGCAGCCTGTCATAATGTGGCGAGCTATTCTGTGATAACCACCCCTTTTACAACTAGCTCAAACAACAGCATTCTTCTGTGAACCTAACTATTGTGGCTGTCTCTCCTCTGGGTCTAGTCTGGGCTCTATAGGCCAACTTCATCATCTAAGCTCTTCCAGGTACTGCTGTTAGGGCTGAGTTGTCACTCCACTTTTCCTTTCCCAAAGTAGCACAGGATCTTCTTTGAAACCTGAGCCACTGCGACATTTTCTTGTGGTTAGTCACCTCACCCTTGGGGCTCAGTTTTTTGTTTTTTTCTTTTTGAGACAGAGTCTCACTCTGTTGCCCTGGCTAGAGTGAGTGCCGTGGCGTTAGCCTAGCTCACGGCAACCTCAAACTCCTGGGCTCAAGGGATCCTCCTGCCTCAGCCTCCTGAGTAGCTGGGACTACAGGCATGTGCCACCACGCCCAGCTGATTTTTTCTATATATGTTTTTAGTTGTCCAGCTAATTTCGTTCTATTTTTAGTAGAGATAGGGTCTCGCTCTTGCTCAGGCTGGTCTCAAACTCCTGAACGCAAACCGTCCACCCGCCTCGGCCTCCCAGAGTGCTAGGATTATAGCCGTGGGCTACTGCGCCCAGCCAGGGCTGTTTCTGATGTCCTTCCTTTTAGGAAGGCAGCAGCTGCTTTGGATCTCTCAACTTGATTCATGTGGTGACTGTCTTAGGTACCATTGAGACCAGATACCAGATGACCAGTTAGACATTGTATTTTTAGGGTTATCCTGTCCTAACTTGCTATGGGGTTTAAGGATATCTGGGGGACACAGATCTCTGGGTTCATTTCTTTTTCTGAGGATTCATGTAATTCCCTAGTTTTATGGGTTGGAGGCTGGTCCTTGCATGGCTTTTTGCTCAGATTGTCCTCTAAGACTTGAATTTGGAGCAGAAACAGGACAGCACCTGGTCTTCAGTTACACTGCAAAGCAAGGCCTCAGTAAGGGTAAATCCAATTACTGACTTTCACCTAAGGTGAAAAAGCATTTGGCTTTTCACCTTAGCATCTTTGGATATTCTGAGAGTACTGGCTGAGAGCAGAGGGCCTAGAGACAGGCCAGCCTAGATGTAACTCCTCTGCTGCTTATTAATTTCTTCGCTGAGCTACTCCTCTCTGAACCCAGGTTCCTCCATGTACAGAATAGTCACATAATGGCACTGTTACAAGACTTGCCAGGAAGCTGACCTGTGAGGATAACTAGAACTTCTAGTCTTCACACTGGCAAGATATTAGAAACAGGTTACCTTCTTCCATAGATGCCCATTCCTAAGATGCGTATACGAGATGGCAGTGGATTGAACTATATGACCTCTGAATTCCTTTCTAGTTCTTAGCTTCTGGGGGTCAGTGGCAGTAATTCAGATATTTTATTAATAATAGCTAATATTTGTGTACTTACCAGTATGTCAAGTTGCCATTTATTATTTATGTCACCTTGAGCAAATGATATAATTTAAGTCTTAAATTTTCTTCATTTTTGAAATGGGATAGTAAGAGTATCTACCTCATAAAATTACTGTGAGGATTTAATGATTTAGCATTGTGCCAGGCACACAGTACACCCAGTAAGTGCTCAATACTTAACTATGATTGTTAAGCAGCCAGGGTAGGTTTTGATTTGCTTGGTCTTCTGGCTTTTATTTTTTCCTTTACTGTTTCTTTGCATTTCAGGGTGAAACTTCCTACATCCGAGTTTATCCTCAGAGAAGCACCAGCTATGGCTACTCACGGTCTCGGTCTGGGTCAAGGGGCCGTGACTCTCCATACCAAAGCAGGGGTTCCCCACACTACTTCTCTCCTTTCAGGCCCTACTGAGACAGGTGATGGGAATTTTTTCTTTATTTTTTAGGTGAACTGAGCTGCTTTGTGCTCAGACTCTACATTCCAGATTGATGATTTAGTGTCTTAGGAAATTTTTTAAATTTTTTTTTTAAAAGAAAAAAAACTACATAATTTCTACCAGGGCCATATTAGCAGTGAAATATTTTAAACTGCAGAAATTGTGGTTTTGGTTCAGAAACAAGTTGTATATTTTTCACCCCTGATTATGGGAAGAAAATCAGTGCTGTGTCTTTGTGGGTTGCTCTGCTATGGAGATCAGCAGTTACTGTGACTGAGTTGGCCCATTCTGTTTAGAAATATATTTTAAACGTTTAGTAATTGACATGTGTGGTTGTCCTTGATTAAGTTCAT